CTACAATATGTTTTGGCATTGCTTTATAGTAGGGAGTGTAGCATTGTAGACATTCACAAAATACAATTAATTTTAAAATATGAAAATTAACGATAATCCAACTCCATGAAAACAATAACAAGAATTTTCATTAATTTCTTTATGATGATTATACATTAACAGTGATTCCTCTCCCTCTCTCTCTCAAACTATACTTTTCTGAGAATTAATTTTTGAGTCATAAGCTATTTTAAAACAGCTAACTTTCGAATAATACCCAAAGCTATAGTCTATGGTATTTTCCAAAATATGACACTGAAATCAGTCAAATTACCCATATTTTTACGTTTTCAGATACAGATTGATGTACTAAGGCTATGTAACAAGTTTGAGCTGATCCTGACAATTTTTTTCAAGCAGCAGCCAATGTTAGAAACGGCAATTTTTCAAAAATACACAAGGCTATAGTCCATGGTTTGTTCCAAACAAGGCTCCAAAATCACCTGAAATTTTATTACATTTTCTGATACAATATTCATGTCCTTATACCGTGTAGAAAGTTTGAGGTGATTCCAAAAAATATTTTTAGAGTTATGAGCATTATTTTAAATGGCCAACTTTCAAAAAATACCCAAGACTTTGGTTTTCTGCAAAAAATGATCCCAAAATTAGCCCAAATTTGCATTAAATTTTCTGATACATATTGATGTACTTATGTTGTGTAGAAAGTTTCAGGCAATTTTGACAAATATTTTTGCAATTAAAAAATGCTAATTATTTTATCCAAAAATGGCTCCAAAATCACCCTAATTTTTTATTACATTTTCTGATACAGATTGATGTACTTGTGCTTTGTAGAAAGTTTAAGCTGATTCCGGCTTCAATTTTTAAAGTTACTACCATTTCTTCCAGAAATATTACCTCAAATATTTACTATTACTATCACTTACAGAGTAGTTGTAAGACATGGTCTTCCTTCCTCCATAGGTAGCGAAGGGGCGGCAGGGGCGTATCTAGGAATTGGGGAAGGGGGTTGCTGAGGGCGCACGAAGTGCACCGCGATTTTGGCCACACCCACTTTTACGGCGGTATAACGGCCTTTTCCTGCATTTTGTCAATTACGGGTGGGGCCAAGATCATTTCAAGCATACTGCTATGTTACTGGTACTTCTGATTGCTCCTTAAAGCACTGGAAACTGCTGAAATCATGATCAGGGGGCTAGATAACTTTGTTAAGAGGCTTGGTAGTGATGCAAGAGTCCAGGACTTCAGTAATTTTTTCTGAGCCCAGCCCTGAGGGGGGTGCTCAAGCCCCCTCAGCCCCCCCTCTAAATACGCCTCTGGGCGGGCTGAGACTAGTCCACCTACTCAACCTATGAAGAATAATAAATAAATAAATAATAAAATCACATTACTTAATTGTAACTTACGTGAACCATAAAATTCCAAAAATAAAATTTTTCCAATA